GATCACTTATATTCTGCTTTTCTCTATATTGTTCCCCAACCCCTTGCCCTAGCAATGGTCCCCCTTTATTTTCCTGGTTTCTGCAGTTACTACTGAATATGTACTCTCATCTGAAGATTTGGAGCTGGGAGCCGCTAATGAGAGAGAACATGTGATCTCCCCCTGCCCCCGCCCCATCTGGGTCCCTTTATATAATAAGATCTTTTTTAGTTGTAACCATTTACCTGCAAAGTTCATGATACTATTTTTCTTTACAACTGAGTCCTATTCCATTGTGTATATGTACACATTTTATTATCCATCAGTTGTAGGTCATTTAGATTGTTTTGGTTTCTTAGCTATTGTGAATAGAGCAGCAGTGACCATGGCTGGACGTGTATCTGTGGAGTAGAATGTTGAATCCTTTGGGTATGTGCCAAGGACTGGTACAGCTTGATCATATGGTAGATTTATTTTTAAATTTTTTGAGAATTCTCCACACTGATTTCCATACTGACTGTATAAGTTTGCAGTTCCACCAATAGTGAATGAGGGTTCCCTTTTCCACATCTCCTTCATTTGTTTTAGATTGGTTTGTCGTGTTAATCTTTGCCATTCTGACTGGGGTAAGAGGAAATCTCAAAGTTGTTTTGATTTGTAATTATATAGCTAGGGACAATGAGCAGTGAGCATTTTTTGAGATACTTCTTAGCCCTGCCCCCTTCTTTTTCTTTTGAGAACTCTATTCAGGTTCCAGGCAGAGCTCTCTGCCAGCCATATGTCTTTTGTCAGATGTGTAACTTAAAAAGATTCCCATTTTATGGGCTGCTTCTTCACCCAATTGGGTTTGAGTGTTTGTTTGTTTGTTTGTTTGTTTGTTTTTTGCCTTTTCAGAACATTTTGTTTTATAAAGTCTATCCTGTCAGTTCTGGGGCAAATGGAGCCCTATTTAGGAAGTCTTTTCCTATATCTATATCCTACAGGGTACTGTCTGGAAGAAATTCTAGAAGTTTCAGTGTTTCAGGTTTCACATTTAGGTTTTTTTTATCAATTTGGAATTAGTTTTTGTACAAGGAATAAATATGTGTCTAATTGAGCAGTGAATTATCCCAGTACCATTTGTTGAAGATGCTTTTTTTTTTTTTGTCAACTTATGTTTTTGGCATCTTTGTCAAATATTAAGTGCATGCAGTTACAGGTACTCATGTGCTTGGATCTTCAGGTTGTCTTTCAGGTCTAGGAGCCTGCTTTTGTGCCAGTACTGTATTGTTTCTATTACTATGGCTGTGTAATGCTTCTTAAGATCTGGAATGGTTATTCCTCTAGCTGTGTTTTCTGCTCAGGGTTGTTTTGGCTATCTGGGATCTTTGTGGTTCTATATGAATTTTAGGGTAGTTTTGCTTTGTTCTTTTTAACTGTTTTTAGTCTCAGAAGTTTTGTTATGTTGTGTTTTCATTTAGTTCTTAGAAATTTTTTATTTCTTGATTCCATCTTTGACTCATTCATCATTTATTAATGAATTGTTTAATCTCCATGAATGTATAACTACTACACTTTTATTTGCTATCAATTTTTAAGTTGTAGTGTATTATGGGTAGATTGGATACAAGAACTGATTTCAGTCTTTTTGAGTTTGCAAAGATTTGTTTTGTGTGTCAAGAGGTCTATTTTAGAAAACCTTCCCTGTGCTGCTGAGTAGATTGTGTATTGTTTGGGGTTTGGGTAGAATGTTTTCTAGACATCACTTAACTCCATTTGATGTATGATGTCAATTGATTCTGATGTTTCTCTGGTTTTTTATTCAGATGACCTGCCTGTTGAAGAAAATTGAAATCATCTATTATTAATGGAGTGATGTTAATCTGTTTTTAAATACAGTTGTATTTATTTTTATCCAATTGGGTTCCCCAGAGTTCACTGCATGTATGTTTCGGATAATAATGCACTCTTTATTAACTGTTTCCTTGATTAGAATATAGTAGCATTCTTTATCTCTTCTGATTAGTTTTAATTAAGTCTATCTTGTTAGATATTAAAATAGTGATACTTGTTTACTGGTCACAATTCAATACACTTTCTTTGTTATGTATTCTCTCTCTCTCTTTTTTTTTATAATTTATTTTTTTCTCAAATCGTAATTCATTCACACAGGGGTATAAACTCAGAAAGGCAGGATGTGGGGAAGGGAATGACACTGGAGTGTGGGTGTTCAGGGGGAATACAGATATCTTCAGAACCGGGTATCAGCTGGGTGAAGGTTCAGGGGACAAGTCACTATGACTCTGCCTATGACTCGCTTGTCCTTATCTAAGTTGGTATTGTCTGCCCAGGCTACCTATTTACAAGGTCTATGACTACTCAGGTTTGTAAATTTCCACAAAAGCTGCCTGTTTACATTAGCTTATAGCCATCTGTTTCCATGTTTTTCCACTGAGACCCAAGACTTGGTGTTAGTATACACGTATGACAGGCCTATTGCTGATTTTAGGCCTATGGCTGATTTTAGGCCTTCAGTGGGTAAGCAGGGCTGCCCTTGACATCTCCTCCCTTCTCTAATTGTAGAAGGGCTGTGGCAATTCTAAACTTGCGAAGGCGGGGATAGAGGCCTGACCTCCAGTATTTGAAGGGGACCTTGTAATGGCTCCAGTCCCCCTGTCGTTGTCCAGTGAGGCATGAGGGCCATACCCGTCCCGATGTCTTTTTCCTGGAGCGGGGATACTTTTGACATCAGCCCCTATGCAGTCAGGGTTGTCCCTCAGGGAACCCAGATAGATATTTTTATCTTTTGTTTATATTCCTTTGCAGAGCTTAGCCTTGCAGCATAAGCAAGAATTCAGATCGCCTGACAGAGGGGGTTCTGGATGGCCCCTCTCTGCTTGGTCTAGGGGCAGAAGTCCCCCCCTTTTAGGTTGGGTGGAGATGAGTTTTGGAAACACCCGGTATAAAGTAACAACCTCATCTTGAGTCTCGTGGTCCTCCATAGCTAACTTATGATAATGTATCTGAGTAGGTTTTGCTACCAAATTATTTATCTGTTGTATCACAGAGTTAGTTCGCCTATTTGAGAGCCAGGGACCAGCAGAAAAAAGCAAAAAGAACCCAAATAATGGTCCCAAGATGGGAGGAAATAGGGTTGACAACCTTGGGGAGGCTGAAAACCAATTCTTTTATCAGCATTCATCTGTCTCTTTCTCTCTCTGATTTTTCTTAGGGCCTTCACTACCTGTTTCATGCTCTCTTTAACCCTCCTTGTCTTGTCTATGTAAAGGCAACCTTCTTCTTTAAGAGCTGTACACAGTCAAGAGCTGTACACAGCCTTTTCTATTGTGATAGAGTAAATCAAGTCCAATAAGGATCTTTGCGATTTTAGGAGGTCTCTTCAGACAGCGAAACGAGGGATTTCTTCAGATTAGTGATGTCAATCTCTAGCTGTTTGGTGTTCTTGTCAGTGGCCCTTCAAAGGTCTGAGTAGTATAAGTTCGGAGGCCAGCATCTGGATTAGAACTTCTAACAGCAGACATCACGGGTTTTTACCTGGGATGCTGCCTGAGTTCAAGCTCCTGGGAGTCCCTCTTCCTCTTGGTTTTCTGGGGTTGGGTACAGAGCTGCTGCCTGTGACCTGCTCTATGCTTGGGCCCAGACCGGAAGTCCTCATGTATTCTCTCTTTTAGCTACTTTTCTTTTTTCCTCCTGTCATTGATATTCTGTATGTTTCTTGTATCTGTATGTGGGTGTCTTTCTTTAGTTTGGGGGATGTTCTCTGATTTTGTTGAAGATCAGATCTATGTCTGTGCCTTGGGATTTCTCTCTCATCTTTGCCTATAATTTGTAGGTTTAGTTCGTTTCATGGTGTTCCACATGTTTCTTTTCTGTGTTTAAAATTTTTTAAATATTATGCTTATTTGATCTAGATCCTGTACTTCAATCTTCAAGTCCTGATATTCTGTGTTCTATTTGATTTATTCTACTAATAAGACTTTCCTGTGAGTTTCCTAACAGCAGCTTGAGTCTTCTTCAGTGAGTTTATCTCCTTATTGAATTCTGTTCTCAAGTCCTGGATCGTCTTAATCATTTCTGTAGCTTTATGTTTGTATTTCTTGGGTATCACTAAGGTGCTTATTCCCTTTAAACTCTTTCTCCTCAGTGTTATTGAGTTGTTTGTGTCTTTAAATTCTGAAGTCTTTTATGAATTTTATGATTGTTCTTTTAAATTCTGAGTCCTTGGGTTTACTTAGGTAATTTGCCTTGGCAGATATTTATATATGACCAGTAGGTTTTTAGAGAGAAGATAGATACTGGCTTGATTGTTCATATTTTGGAATTTTTGCAATGAGATCTGGTCATGCGGATGTCTTTTCTTTGGTTAGTCTGATATGGACTGAGTAGGTTAAGGTAAAAGCAGGGCAGGTTCGTCCTAGAGGTTGGAAATGGCTTGGGTGGAAAGGAATCAGGGACTCCTGTCGAAGAGACTGGGATGGTAGGCAAGATGTGCTTCCTGGTCCAAGCCTGAAGTGTGGATCTTGATCCATGTGAGTGGAAGGGTTGGCTGGAGGGGAAATAGGTAAAAAGGTTTGCATAGTTGGGTAAAGAGCCAAAGGTACTCGTAGGTGGTTGGAGGTAGACTATGTCCTGCTCATTGCTCTTCATGGTTTATCTTTTGAAAAAATAATATAATGCTAATCCAATCTCACAGCTGAAGTTGACAAATCATGGATGTTTTTCTTCTTTTGTGAAAATACATTTATCTTAAAGGGACCTAATAACAGTATTTTCTACAGCAATTTTATTATTAAGTTGATGGTGCTCAGTGGTAAGGAGCACTAATGATTCCTTCTAGAGGACCAGGCTTCAGTTCTCAGCGCTTCAGTTCCAGGGGATCTGATGGCCTCTTTTGTACCCTACAGGCAGGGCACACACATGGTGCAAAGACATACATGGAACAAAACAACCATACATATGAAACAAATAAGTCTTTTTTTTTTTGTAATAAAATTGTACATTTTTGATCACTTTTGTTTCAGAGTGAGATAATTCGAGATAATACTGGCATCCTGGAATGTGTTAAAGAAGGAATTGGACGAGTGATAGGCTTGGGAGTGCCTCACAGCAAACGCCTTCTTCCACTGTTTTCATTGATCTTCCCAACAGTGCTGCATGGAGTTCTTCATTACATCATCAGCTCCATCATTCAGAAGATTGTCCTTCTAATTCTGAAGAGAAAGACCTATAATAGCCACCTAGCTGAGAGTACTAGCCCCATGCAGAATATGTTGGATGCTTATTTTCCAGAACTTATTGCTAACTTTGCTGCCAGCCTTTGCTCTGACGTTATACTTTACCCATTGGAAACAGTTCTACATCGTCTTCATATTCAAGGAACACGCACAATAATTGACAATACAGACCTTGGCTATGAAGTACTTCCAATTAATACACAGTATGAGGGAATGAGAGACTGTATAAATACCATCAAGCAGGAGGAAGGAGTGTTTGGTTTTTATAAAGGGTTTGGTGCTGTTATAATACAGTATACACTGCATGCAACCATCTTGCAGATTACCAAAATTATTTACTCCACACTTCTTCAGAATAGCATTTGAAATTTAGGTTCTGTGATTGGCTGATCCAACAAATGTGGTCTGGATAATTTGCTATGACATTTCAAGTAATAAAAGTAAAATACTGCATGGAAAGAAATAGGCTGGGAATTAAGATCGCTGGAAAAGCTCATGCTGATTATTCTGACTTCTTATTTTTCTTAAGGGACAGATACATATATATATATATTACTTGATCAAACCTTTCCAAAATTGAAACTTCAATAAAGGTAATACATTAAATTTAAAATGTAAAGTTACATTTTAGTATAATACTCATGCCGAAGTAAAATTTATCCTGGGTGGAAACAAAAATGTATCAAGTATAAAATGAAATTACAATGACTTGAATCTATTTTACTGACCTTAATATTTGTTATATATTTGTTTAACTTGGATTCAGGTCAGTGTGTTAATTCTTAAAGCAGTGGATAGTATTGGGATTTTACCTTTAAGCAAGTAGATTATGTCATCATTGAAAAAAACTAATAATTAGATTTGGCACTGTGTAAGCAGTGGTTGAAGAGTTTTAAATTGTATTTAACCATTTTAATTGCTGTATATATTTATTATATGGAGCCATTTGTGTGTGTGTGTGTGTGTATGTATGTGTATACATGTAACTTGGGATTTCCTTCATCCCTGCAAGTTTTCATAGACCAGCTTCATGCATCAAATGAAGGTAGACACTTTCTGCTTGAACATCAAGAACAAGACATCAAAACGCCAGAAAATAGCTTTCTTGTCTGCATCACATCCAGCCTTGCAGTGTCAGAAACTTGAAATTTGTCATATGCTTGTGACCTGTGGATCATCAGATGATTTTTAGAGCTACTTTTAAAGATACCTAACAATCATGGCAGCCATTACCGTTTTCACCCTTACCTTAAGGAGCCTCACTTGTCTTTCATTTCTAAAAGAACTTATCTTGGAGGGAACAAAATTAAAGTTCTCCTGAGAATTTGTGCCTCTTGCTCACCATAAATAATCACTGCAATCTTTCTTTTTTCTTACCTTTTTTTGTATGCGTGCGTGTATGTAAAGTTTTATTCTCCAAATAAGCTACCAAGAAGATAAAAATGAGACGTTCTTGTTACTTTTTATTCAAACTTGCTTGGATAAGTACTGAATTGAAATACAAACCTCATAGGAAATTTGCCCTTATGTTTTATGAAGGAAGAGGAGGAGTCACTATATTTCAACAAAGGAAACGTGTTAATCACTTCAATAAAGTTGGTGTGTTCCCACGGTGGATTAGCCTTTGTAATAAAGTAATGTAGAGTTCACTGATCACTCATGCAGCATTTAGCATTTCATTTCCTCATGGATATGCCCCAGTTTACACGCACTGAAGTGCAGTGCCTCCAGGTGTCGCCCAACCTAGAATGCATGCAAACTAACCCTGATGTTAATGTTAAACGTTGCAGAGAGTGTTTGTACCATGACTGGTAAGAGTGGGAGCTTTACACGGTCATGGAAAAGCATGAAGTAGTGTGTCAGTAGCAGCTGTCCCTACCATCTATGTCTCTGAAGTAATGCTGTCAACTCTTCAGTTCCTCAAAAGGGAAAATAAATGCTGTTGATCACATTTTGCATTTTATGGTTAAATCTCTTAACGTGTTTTACTTTGTATAAAGAGGTTAACATTTTTTATTGACTTTTAGCCGCTAAGTTTTTAGATGTCTATAGTCACCTTCCTTAGAATCTCATTTTATAAGTTAAGGTGGTTTCAGAGAAGAAACTAGAAAATTTTGGTTTCAGCAAATAGTTAGAACAGTCTAAATGGAATCAGATATTTACTAGGTAAATTTTGTGGAATTTTCCATGTATCTGAATACTAGATATTTGAGGATTATTTATTGACAGTTACCATGAATTTAGTAATATAAATTTATTGATCTGAAGTAAAAATGCTGTAGCTGAACTAAATACATGATTGGTCTCCTTGCAGAAATCTCTACAAATTACCTTAAAAACTAAAGTTGGAGAGTGGTAAATAAGGTTTGTTTGTTTGTTTGTTTGTTTTAACTGCTTTTTCAAATTTGTTAAAAGTGCAGCCTTTGAAAGTCAAACGCATTTTAACTGGCCAGTGTTTCTCAGTGAATTAATACCTTTTATACTTAGCATGACAAATAGCCCAGTGATGTGATTATATTAAGTAGAATATATCAAAGCAGTCACTCATGGATGGTGCAGAATGCTTCAATGTTTTTATCCAAGAATTCCAGAATCTGTATGGAAAGTAGAGGATTCTACCTTGAGCGATGTGCTGTTGTTGGCTGAGCTCATGGAGGATTTGTGCTGTCTGTGTGGGTATGGATGCTGTAGAACAAAAAAGACATTTTCCCAGCTCTTGCAAAAACTAGGTTGAGTGACTTAGAAAACTTAGTTAAGCTAATAAAACCCTTTCATAAGGGTTGACATCACACTAGAGTTGGAGTACTACTTACTGCTGACATTTCTGAGTTCCCGTCAAGTGTTTGGTGTGATACATCTTGCGACCCTCTCCCCTCCTTGAATAGCTGCCATATTACTTTTGAGCCATTTTCATTAATACAGTACTAGTTTGTATAACAGAGTAACAAAAATCTGTGGTTTGACTTTTACATCTTGTTACCTCAGCGAGGAGGTTTATTTTCTTTATTTTTACAATTTTGTCACTACCATTTTAAATATTTTAGGTAATAAGTTGCAATATAAAAAGCTTGATAAAACATTGAAATCAAGAAAATATATATGTGTATGTATATGTATATATATGTATGTATGTGTGTGTATATATATATGTATGTATGAATATATATATCCATTATTGATACTATAGGACTACTCATGAAGGGGATAAAAGGTAATATTCTTTTTCTAGATAGAAATTAAGAGAAATCTATATGTAAAATTGAACATTTGCCACCACTTACTTAAAAAAAGTCCCTTGCATCATAAAACTAGGCTAATGGATGTGGCATAGAAAGCAGTATATTTTCAAAAGTAAATTTCTGCATTGTATTTTGTTTAGAAGTCTTAACATCTTTTACTGTTAAAACAGCCCTATGGCATTTGTGGAGTAGTCCTGTTTTGGTGCTATTGGAGGAAGTAATTATAGAAAGCCTCTGACTTGTCTCATTGAGTAGCTGTGGGTCTGACAGCATCAAAACAGCCAGCTCCATAGGAACTCTAGGATGAAGATGAGAGTTAAATGTTAGCTGAAGGCAAGAGAAGAGATTTAGAGCACTCGCAGTGAATAAGAAAACAAAACTAAAAATTGAGTCAAACAGTAATAGAATCAAGCCCACAGCTAATTTACTAAAGAAGTCCCAAATTACTAAGTCAGAAATGAATAAAGGGGGCATTGCTAAGCTTAGCATGCTAAACAGCACGGGTTTAGGACAATGCTATGAAAAACCACATGCCGGATTGGACAAATCCCTGTAAGCAGACTACAACAGGCGCAGGAAGAAACAGAAAATTGAGCAGGTGAGGCCAAGTGTGAACCAGTCAAAAACTCAAAGTCTAGGACTAGCTTTATTGGTAAAGTCTACAAACTACTAAAGAATTTGTACCAATGCTCTATTCACCAAAAACTTGGAAGAGGTGGAAACACTTTCCAGCAACCTATGAAGCCAGAATTAAACCAGTATAGGATTAAGTCCTAGACAAGAGCTACAGAATAACATCTCTTATGAGTATATATGCAAAAATTACCCCAAACCTAGCAAACTAAGAGGCTCTAGAGATGGATCACCAGGTAAGAACACTTTCAGAGGATCTATGTTCAATTCCCAGCACCCACATGGCAGCTTATAATAGTAACTCATTTGGTGGCAAAAGATGTCTAGTTAAGTGTTGTCACAGTCAACCGGGTTCACCTGAAAGAGAGGCTGGGAATGGAAGAAGGGACAGGAGGGTGGGAAGAGATGAAGCCAGGACAAAGGTCTCTGATCGAGGCTCAATGCTTTAATGTTCATCTTTCAATTTAAAGGGGAAGCCGCACCCCCAGAGTTCCTTCTTGCTTCAGCCCGGTGGGGGTGAGGGAAATCTATCCTTAAGGGAAGCTCAGCAGGCAGTCTATTCTTCTCAGCTCCTGTAGCAGGCCTTGGGTCGGCCAAGGTGGTTAACACTTGAGTCCTACTGTTTTGGTCTGCTGTGGTAAGCAAGGTCTCTCAGGCCTGCTCAAGGCTGGGGGAAGGGTACAGTTAAGACTTTGTCCTCTCACCATTTGGGGAGACAAAAATATACACACTTATATATACTTTTTAGTATGTATATACTTTATTTTATTGTGGGTTTTTTTTGTTTTTTGTTTGTTTGTTTGTTTGAGAAAGGTTTCTCTATGTAGCTCTGGCTATTTTGGAACTCACTCTGTAGACAAGGCTGGTCTCAGATTTGCTCAGATTTGCTTGTCTCTGACTCTTAAATGCTAGGTTTAAAGGCATGTACCTCCCTCCCTCCCTCTCTCTCTCTTCCTCTCTCCCCTCTCTCCTAGCTTCAACAGTAGTAGGTTTCTATATGCGCCCTCAAATGGCCCTTGGTATTGTGTTCCCTCCTTTACCCCTATTCTCTCCCCCTCCATTTAGTTCTCCAGATCCACTCTGCCTAACTTTATATTTTATTCCCCTTTCTTGAGAGATCCATTCCTCACCTTTTTATTTTATCCACCCCAGTCCTTTTTATTACTAATTATTATTACATGGATATATGTATGTACTGGGTAGTTTTATGACAACTTTATAGAAGCTAGAGTCATCAGAGATGAACGAACCTCAACTGAGAAAATGCCTCCAATGAGCTGTAGACAAGCCTGTAGGCTCTACAGTGTAGGCCATTTTCTTAATTGGTGATTGATGTGGGAGGGCCCAGCTCATTGTGGGTGGTGCAATCCCTGGGCTGGTGGTCTTGGATCGATAAAGCAGGCTGAGCAAGCCGTGAGGAGCAAGCCAGTAAGCAACACCCCTCCATGGCCTTTCTATCAGCTCTTGCATCCAGGTCCCATGCTCTGCTCAAGTTCCTGTCCTGACTTTGATGATGAACTATGATGTGGAAGTGTAAAGCCAAATAAACCCTTTCCTTCCCAGTTTGCTTTTGCTCACAGTGTTTCATCACATCAATAGAAACCCTAATTAAGACAAGTTGGTACCAACATAAGATATTAGTCTGACAGACCTGACCATGTTTTGGGAGGACTGTGGAAGGACTTTGGAACTTTGGGCTAGAAGAGGCATGACTGTTATGACTGTTAAGAGCTCAGTGGGATGTTCTGTAGGATCTTGGAAGATAAGAATGTTGAGAGAAGTACAGACAATGGAGGCCTGCCTTGTGAAGCTTTAGAGGGTAGTTTAAAGACTCTGTCAGCCAGGCGGTGGTGGCGCATGCCTTAATCCCAGCACTTGGGAGGCAGAGGCAGGTGGATTTCTGAGTTCGAGGCCAGCCTGGTCTACAGAGTGAGTTCTGGGACAGTCAGGGCTATACAGAGGAAACACTTGTCTCGAAAAACCAAAAAAAAAAAGAAAGACTCTGTCAATACCATTTACTATTTTGAATAGAGATTCTGTCATTCTGGTCAATTGGGGCTAAAGAACCAGCTGGAAATAAGAAGAGACCAGCCTCATGGAAGTGAAACCTTTGCATTAATGGGACAATTGATGCTGGCCACCTGGAGCTAAGAAGTTAGCAGTGATCCAGAAGAGATCAACATCATTGAGGCAAAATCTTCCGTGAAGTGTTTCCTCAGGGTCAGCACAAAGATGCTGTGTTCTGGAAGAGGTGAAGCTTGTACCTTATGCTGGTAGCTGAATTTGATAGTGTGAGAGTCACCCAGGTGGTACTGGTTTTGAAGGAATGAAGGAGTCTTGGAGAAGAGCTGAGGCTTGGCACTGTGAGAGGCCAGGAGAGGCCATTGGTGAAGGTGCAGCCTCAGTAGCAGTTGAAGGCCCAGGATTGAAGGGATTATGCAGAGAAGTTAAGGCTTGGCACCCTGAAGAGAGCCCAGGGCAGGCTATTGGTGAAAGTGCAGCCCAATTGTAGCAGAAGACTCGACATTTTGGAGATGCCAGTACCTTGGGTTGACTACCAAGAACAACAGCCTTGAGTAGAGCCTATCCAGGCTTAGAAGACAAGCTATGTGTGCTGTAGAAGGTGGAGCTAGAGAAGTGACCCAAGCCCTTTGGAGGAGCCCAGAAGATCATGAGTGGATCTCAGACAATGGACATTGAGTAATTTATACTATTGGCATTTGTTTTACTTTGTTCAGATTGTGACTGTGTCCTGGTTCTTTCCTCTTGAAATGAGAGGTATTTAATTTTATTTTGATTTTTTACTGGAGCCCACAGGTGAAAGGCTTCAAGCTTTTAAAATAGATTTTGGGTGTTTAAAGATATTGAATATTTAAATTGACTGAAGTCTCTTGTTTGTTTTTTTTTTTTGTTTGTTTTGTTTTTGAGATAAGGTCTTAAAAAAGAGATTGAATATTTTAAAGAGGCTGAAATTTCTTGTTTATTTTTGTTTTTGCTTTTGAGACATGGTGTAGGTATGGCTGTTTTGGACTCAGTTTGTAGACCAGGCTGGCCTCAAACTCAGAGATCTACCTGCTTC